AGGCCGCCATGCCCGACTCTGTCATGAAGCATTCTTGACACAGCGCTACCCCTACAGTGGCCTTCCAGATGGAGCTTCTACCAAGGAGATGAAGATTAAGTCCACCATGATAGCCAGTAAGTACCCCTACCACTCTCCTCCTAGTCCCCTCCGCCCTCCTCCTTCCAGGCACTGTCCACCGTATAGCCGAGGTGGCAGCCTAGACGCTCCTCCTCCCAGTGCTCCACACAGCGCTCTTCCACCAGCGCTCCAGCAGCGTAACGCCCAAACTCACACACTGCAAAACGAGGAAGAGCAAAGAGCAAAACACTCTTCCTCAAGACATAGCGGGCAACCAGCCTCCTCCCTTTCGGAGGGAAACATCATTGCAGGTCTGATATCGTCCGCTACAGGCCCTAGACTCAGACTTCAAGACTGGTACCCTAAATTTTTTTATTTTATTTTTTTTGAAACACAGGCTCCAATCGAGCGTCACGTGCTGAGAACCGGGCTCAGCGTCCCTTCTGAAATGCATACTAGTTGAAAGTTTGAGAGAACAATCATGAGTATGCGACAATCAGAGAAAAAACACAGAGCTGGAAACGGGGTCCAGTGTCCCATACTTTTAACTAACTGAAACAAAAGCCCGGTGTCTGCCTCTTCATCCATTTTGCCGGATGCCAGGTCCTACACAGAAAGCTAGCAGCCCTTGTCTCCCTTCCCTAACCCATGGCATGGCACAGATAACAGCAAGAGCCACTGGGGGGCACCAGTGGGTCCTCCTTCTGTCTCCTTGTCGGCCCCAAACTTCTGGTACCCTAAAACTAGGCCTACTGGACTCCTAAAATTCGCGTGGCCTCTAAAGGCATTGAGTTTTTGTCTTCTTTTGGTCAGCCTACCCCTAAGCTACCCCTCAGCTACTTGAGAGTTTTCCCCCCTGCAACCCTCAAAGTCACGGCCACAGGAAAGTACCGGCCGGCCATGTAGTTCAACCGAATTTGAAACTTGGGTCTGTATTTCAACAATAATCACACTAGGACTTTCTTGGATGTATAAGGCCTGCTTTTTGGACCAAGTGGTCGATACCGATGCACTTGACCGCAATTGCGTCCGCAGAGAAGTTGAAAAACTCCTAGTGTGAGTATGGCCTGAGCTAGGCCCGTTGGTAGTTTCAGCGTTCCAGTTGCGCAACAGCCAGGACAGCAAAAAACGATAAGAAAACAGCTCTTATCTCCAGCCGTTAGATTACCGTTGCCGCCTGAAAAGATCAGTTAATATATCAATCATGTGTAGAGAGGGAAAGGTAAACAGAAACCAAGCAGTCGTATCTGGAGACTACCAGACAAACCACAGCTTTCTTCGGATACATGAGCAACAAGAGGTATACAGAACAAGGCGGTCCTCGTTACTTTTTTTTTTTCTTTCTTTCTCTCGTTACTTTTTTTAGTTCGCACTGACAGGTGTGCTCGACTGATACAACCTCCCAGCCATTCCAGATACAGAACCACCAGTACGTTTCACAGGCAAATTGTGCGCAACTTTCGGGGCTCAGCGTACCTGGTGGGAAAGGGCTAGCCCAGTGACCATGACCAGAAGAAATTTGCATGGGCATGCGGCAGAAATCAACAGCAGACATCGGCCAAAGAGCCTCGGAACGACTGCGGTGGTGGTTCAAGCCCGGCCAGTACACCGGTCCTTGTTTCCAGCGTACTGCTCCTTAAAGGCCGGGGGGTACAAAAAATGCGGTAGGTACTGGTGGTTTTAGTGCCGGTTGGGGCGGCCTACTGGTGGTCTGAGTGTTGGGGCAGCCGTTAACGCGGAAGCGGAATCGGCCTGCCCCTCCGGTCCAAATTCATTTGAGGCCGGGGCTAGGAAAAATGCCGTGGGTACTGGTGGTTTGAGTGCCAGTCGCCGGGTGTTTATTTGCCCCCTTGAGCTACCATCATTTGAACTGACTGGCCCTAGGTAATTCAGAATTGCAGTGGAGTGCAAACATAGGTCTGTATTTTCAACAGTTAGGGGTGCACTATCTGTGCTAGGCCGGTTGGTCCGTCGGTTGGTCCGTTTGCCGTTTACTCCTCTGTCCTATCCGCCGTTTTCTCGTACTGAGGGGCTCTTGCGGGAAAACAGGTAAAGCATCCCTTGCAATATCCAAACTTCTTCCCTCTCCGTTTCCTGGCGTCTTTGATTTGCACCGTTTTTTTTTGTCTTCTCTTCCCGTTCGCTTGCCCCCGTCATTTCCGTCTTCTTATTTTCTTCGCTCTTCCTTTTTATTCCTTTTTTAAAGTTTTTTACCTTTCTTTTCCATTTCCGCCTTCTCGCATTCGCCTTCCCACTTTTCGCATTCTCTTTCCGTTTTCTTGTTGAAGTTGTTGCTGCTCCTCTACATCCGTTTTCTTCTTCTTCTTTTTTTTTTTTTTTTTTTCTCACTACCTTCCTACCACTACTCCTAAGACTATATAGAGGCTGTCTCTTATACACATCTAGATGTGTATAAGAGACAGGGATTGAACCCACGACCTCCTGAATGCCACTTGTTAGCCGTACCAACTGAGTTATGTGGAGTGTGGGGTGAAGGGTACAGGAACCGTGTGGTAGGTAGGGCGAAAATGGTTCGGGTTGCATAATGGATAGTTCATCGTTCGAGGGGAGTAGTCGACTCACATACAAAGTGGCCCCATGGGTCACCTACGGACACCGCATGGGTGGGTGGGTGGGAAACCACATCGTAGGTAGAAATACTACCTGGGGCAGTCCACGTAGATAGAGTCTGCCTGATGACCAGCAGGTGCGAGTTGACGGTTGTCTCATGGATTAGGATAGGGATGCTCGCGAGCAAGTAAAAGGAAGGTTTGGAAAATAGCAAAGAGGTCATTGTGAGTAGAAGAAGATGAGATGAGGTGGGGAGGCATACACTCAATCAATACGAGTGAATGCTTCTTCATGAATAGGATCGATAATGGCGGTGATCTGAGATCCAGAAGCATCGGTAGAAATGGCAGTTGTTGAAAGACGAAGAGTCCAAAGCCTTCCCGGGAGAAAAGGAAGGTGATTCACCCACCATAAAAGGACATTGATGATAGTGCTGGGAACTTGGACTGGAGTGTCCCAATTAGAGGTGGAGATACCATCGTAGTGTGACGAAATAAAACGTGAGACTCGTTATTTCCCGAGACTCGATGGAAAGCTTCAGTGAGTGAAGCAAGCTTTCCTGCGAGCTTCGCAAGTGACCTGCTGGAAGCGGGCGAATCGAAAGTAGACGACATAAGATCAAGAATTTTGGATGCCTTGTCTTGCGGAAAAACCTCGACTCTCTTGTCATGAGAATCGACAATACAACCTAGAAACTGATTTGCTGACTTGGGAGAAAAGAACATTTAGGAAGACTTAGGTAGGAAACACATGAGGCCTCTCCAGAGTCTCCACCATCTCCTTCACTCCCCGCGCCCGCGCCCCCCGCCCAACCCCCCCTTCCTCCTTCCAATATCCATCTCAACTTCCTTCTCTCCTCCATCTCCCCTCTGTAAATACTTCATATATACGCCCCCCCCATCCCCATCCACCCGACCCCCCATTTGAACCAAGCCTTCCTTTCACCTATTGCTAGCCATGTGCGCACGCACCCATCCAATCCTTTCCATGTTTGGCTAGACAGAGAGGTTGGAGGCAGAGAGGTGGGAGGGTAGAGCACAAACTCCATCCTTTGGTCTCAGACCACCTCCATACTGTCAAAAAAAATCACAGCTTGACAAAATTACAGTTAAAAAAAAAAAAAAAAAAAAAAAAAAAAGCTTGTCCGAGGGCTGCCCTACTGCTTGACTGGGTGCTGCCAGTAAGCCTCCCGGCCAATAGGGCAAACCCCGGAAAGGCTAAGGATTGGGGGGAGGGTTGCCCCCAAAGACAGTCCCCCCACTTGCCAGGCGTCTAGGGCCGCCAGGGACGGGTTGGTCCTCTGTCTTGTCTGCTCTCCCCACCTCCTCTTTTCAGATGTAAGAACATGCTCGCCGGTCATGAGCAGCCAGACTGAGCCCCCCAGAATAGAGGGAAATCTCTTTTTTTTTTTTTTTTTAAGCAACTTCGTATACGGGAAACCTACTTAACGAGGTGATAAGAGTATCCCCGATAAGTAGGCCCCAGCGTCGAAGGCTCCATCTATTGGTGGGGAGCTACACCTGCAGCTGGAAATCGGGTCCAGCGTCCCTGTACAAAGATGTGATATGTGTCAGCTGGAAATCGGGTCCGGCATCCCTAGACATCGATATGTGTCTGTGTCCTACTGAGTATTTGTTCATCAATCTACATATATCCCATGGGGGATGAAGGGGGGCATCTCGTTTTGGAAAAAGAAGAAAAAGAAAAGGAAAAAAAAGAAAAAAAAAGGAAAAAAAGGGGAAAAAAAAGGGGAAAAAAAGGGGAAAAAAAGGGGAAAAAAAGAAAAGGAAAATTAGTAAACTACAGTTGAAAAAAGAAAAATCACAGCTTAAAAAAAATACAATTGAAAGAAACAAAATCACAGCTGTCTCATCAACAGCAGCGACCTATGGTTATTGGCATTCCGTCCATCATGCAATCCATTCATCAACCCACCCAACCATCTATTGATGCATTCACTCATCCAGCCCTCTGTCCAATTCGGTAAAAACGCCCCTATAATGATGACAACAACAACAATAACAACAGTAATGACGATGAAGTTGATGACGACAGTGACAACGACAATGACCATGAGAATGAGGACGGGGACATCGACAAGGACACGAAGCTGGGCAAGCACGAGGACAAGGATGACGATACAAAGACAAGTGATGATGATGATGATGATGATGATGATGATGATGATGATGATGATGAGAAGGAGGAGGAGGAGGAGGGGAGGAACAAGGTAGGGAGAGAAAGAAGAGGTAGGGGAGGAGAAGCAATGGTGATAACTGCCAGAACTAAGGGAAAACAGCTGGTTTGCATGAAGGTTTTGTAGCTTTGCTTCCGATAAACTGATACTCCTTAGAACAGAAAGGGTACACGAAAACCCAATGGCCACAAAATGGAAGGCGCATAATCCCCGCCCCGCCTCCGCCCCCCACCCCACCCCAAACATCCGCATACTTATCTAGCCCAGTCGTTAGTCGTACCCTTATAGTTTAAGCTAACATTGAAATTTCCACCCCTTCTATCACTTTCCCCCCACCAGAAAGTAATACAGAGCCAATGCAATGAAATTCAGAAAAGGGAGGTCAAACTAGAAAGAGCAACACTGCTCAACACCCATCACCCATTCACTCAGATGACCCATGGCAACGGAAGATGACCACGATGGTCTCATTCCCGATTGCAAGAAAGCCTCATGAAGAGGTGGCAATCAATTACCTTCTTCCTATCTTTCCTTTCCTGAAGACAACAAACACATCCCGGCTGGTTGCACCCATAACCTGGCTTCAACACCGAGTTTGTATAAATCATAAATCTACTACCCTATGCTATAGGAAAAACCCGTACATCTCATTAAAGCCTCATGAAGAGGTGGTACCAACTTTCCCATCTTTCCTTTCCTGAAGACAACAAAACGCATCCCTGCTCGTCACACCCATAACTTGCCTTCAACACGGAGGTTGTGTAAATCACAAATCTGCCTAAGTTAAGACGAAAACCCCGTACCAGCACCTCTAGCACTCGAAGGGCGTTTAAAAAAAATAAAAAAATAAAAAAAATAAAAATAAAAGAAGAAGACGAAAACCCCGTACATCTCAAAACTTACAGGTCCTCATCATCATCGTGATCATCTAAGGTAAATAGATAGGTAGGTGGGTTGGAAGGAGGAAAGGCAGGGTGAATAGGGAGGTCAATAGGTAGGCACATAGGGAGGTGAATAGGGAGGTGAATAGGTAGGCGCATAGGTGGGTAGGCAGGTCAGTAGATGGGTGAGTAGGTGGGGTTCATCGGTGGGTGGTCTTAAGAAGGTTGATCTAAAGGGGTTGTGTATCTGGACTACCAATGCTCCTGCCCATTCGTTTCCTCAGGACTCTAGCGCTTCAAGTCGTCAAACGAGATAGTTGCATATACCTATAGGCACACTTGAGTGTGCAATCCTTATTTCATCGAACTGAATCCTCCTACAGCATTATAAATAGACTGTACAGCAAAGGGCCTTGGAAACAATCACAGCATGTAGGATGTGCACTAGTACAACTCAAAATATGAAGCCACATTCACTTCTATGTTATGACAAAATCCCTACCACAAAAAAAAATCATCCATCACATGAACTCATACCAACCTTAATCCTTACGGTTTCCCGCCTCCTTCAACTCATAAAATCTCCCCCAACCCCAGCGCGTCCTCCGAAATCTGCATCCCTAAAACTGGAAACCACCTCTACTAGATGGTTTGACTCTACATTGCCACCATGCAAACCAAATATGCAGTGCCAACTCCTTATCACAGCCATCCCTAACCTGCAAACTTACCACGACACTAGCCCTTTCTCAGCCAACATATTCGCCACTCTCTCTCTCTCTCTCTCTCTCTCTCTCTCTCTCTCTCTCTCTCTCTCTCTCTCTCTCTCTCTCTCTCTCTCTCTCTCTCTCTCTCTCTNTTTTTTTTTTTTTTTTCTCACTACCTTCCTACCACTACTCCTAAGACTATATAGAGGGGACCCCTGCAAGCATACGGCCTCGCAAGCGAGGTAATTCATGTTGCCCCCCGCCCCAACAGCGGTAGTCAGGAATGGGGTGGGGCCGCCGGTGGGGGTCCGGCTAACGCAAAGACCGAGCATTTTGCCAGTAGCTGCGCCTCCCTTTCTCATCGCCCCACACCCCTCATCAAGTAGCAGCAGAGGCTATGGCCAACACTCTCCCACACACCACACACAACCCACTCGCGCTCACACTCACACCCGTGTTGGTCATAGGCCCAGCAAATACCGATCAGGGGTATCCAGAGGACTATCACAGTCCATTGGCACTAAGTGGGCTGCAGGCGGCCATGGGGCTTGAACCCACAACCTACTGAATGCCACTTTGTTTTTTTTTTTCTGGTTGCCAAAAAAGAAGGGCGTTAATCAAAAAAAAAAAAAAAAAAAAAAGGAAGGGCGGCGGCCTTGAGACATTGCGGCTCGCCACACCACTGTCGAAACGAAAAAGGAATGAATGCATGTTACCCAGAAAGTCGCAAGATGCATCTGTTGCTATTCATAGTAACGATGCATTTTGCCATTCTCTGCGGGAAGATGCGCTCGTACTTTTCTAGTTTCGACAGTGGTACGGCGAGGCCCATTATCATATCTCATCGAACAAACTGGCTCCAGGTAACTCAAGAATCATTTCACTGATTTGATTAAGCCAGGATTCGAACGCGGGTCTGTTTAGGACATACTCGTGGTCCTCTAGACATCCAGGAAGGATGTCCGACGTCGTCTTCTCTGCATGCCCTGAGTTACGCTCACACTGAGGAAGGAGTCCGCACAGGACTTACTCCTAATGTAGCCGTCAACGCGGTCATATACATCCAGGACAGTCCATACTCTCTTCTGTGTACACCCCGGCGAGTCGCATTCAGTCAACTCGTCAGACAGTTCCCTTGCATGCGAACATCTTACTGGAGGAGGAGCGACTTAAGGCCCCTCCCATCACGGTGACCCCCTTTTCTACTTCCTCCCTCTTTCTCAAGCTCTAGCTATGGGGCTTCAAGTTGCAAGCACCCAACCTACCTATCAAGCCTGCCAATCGCCACACACCCCTCCTAAATCCAACACCCCTCTCTGCACCCCTAACGAAGCCCACTGTAGATGAAGTGTCCACTCAGCAGGGGAGCGCAGCTCCCAGGATGATGAAGAAGAAGAACAGCAACTCGATGAAGATGAAGTGTCTGCCACGTCGAAGAAGAACCGCTGAAAAAAAAGTGCAGCTTCGGTGGCAGCTGACCAAACCCGAACAAGCACACAAATATGAGGAAGCGCGTTTCGCAACGCAGCTCGTTCGTTGGCTATAAATAGTTTCTGAAACTGTGTTCGCTGAAACAGATACTATTTGCAAGGAGGCTGCGTTCCTCTTAATACAACCGAAAATGAAATGGAACATAATGATTACGGTAATTGGCATTCATAGAACGCATTCTTTTTTCTTTTTTTTTATAGATAGAACGCATTCTCGAAAGACCTACTAGATATCTAGAGTCCAGACTGTGAAAAATTAGGCTCACCTCTACATGTAATCGACTGGCTCACACAGCTACTGTAACAGCAAATTCCGATGCTATATCTAGACTGTACAGCAAATTCTGATGCTATCGCAATGAACATTAGTATAAAAATAAATACTGGGAAAACTAGTCCAAATGATTTCTATAGTGCTTCCATGCACAATTCTCTCTGCGACTGGGTCTTTCTTATATTGACAGACAATGCCATAAAACACGAACCAACTACGTCACTTGAGAAAAATGGGAGACGATCTGACTTGAACCCATAACTCTTCATACTTGCACAAAAACATGCGTTCTACCACTTGAACTACGCCCCCAACGAGCAGCAAGTTAGTGTACAACCAGCGACAAACATTCCATGCGGATGCAAATGACGACAAGGGGTTAGGGAGAAAAGCGGGTAGGGAGAAAAGGGGGTAGGGAGAAAAGAAAACAACAGGAAGAAAGCTCGAAAAATCTTAAGCTCACCCAGCCACGAAAGTGACGAGAGTTAAAAAAAAAAAAAAAAAAAAAAAAAAAAAAAAAAAAAAAAAAAAAAAAAAAAAAAAAAAAAAAAAAA